TAGAAGGAGGTCCTAATGAGATAGAAGGAGATCATAACGAGGTAGAAAGGCAGCAGACAATGTTCTAGAGGAAGTTCAGATAAGACAAACAGGAAATGAGAAAAGATCAACTGAGAATACGGAATGCAGTTTTTCAGTTTCAGATCCGATCTTTAACATAAATGAACCAACTTTGTTTTGAGTTGGACCAGAGTTTAAACGGCAGATGGCTCCTGCAGAAATAGAGTAGAAAATGGAGTTACTGTCTGAAAGTTTGACTCCTGATCCGCCTGCACACAGAAACACATAATTTCAGCATCACTTCCCTTTTTCATATCTGAAATCGTTCTGGTCCTCCGGATCAGAGGATCGGTTCTGTCCAAACCTTAACTTAGAGTTAACTGAGCCAGATGACAACCAGACAGGGATCAATTCATGACGAGAAAATCCGAAACGTTGGGACGTCAGATCACCCCTGAAGAATCCAGCCTTTAATTTAAAAAAGAGCTCTGAAGTTTCCCTGCAGAAGTGATCCACAATGACCTGCAGGTTTATAAGAACCAGCAGAACCCTCTGTTTGTCAGAACCATGGGCCCACTCCCAGGACAGACAGTTCAGTAACACCCAACACACAGGAAGCAGCGTTTCAGCTGCGGTTTGTTCTGAACGTCATCTCAGCGTAACGACACAGAACCAAACAGGTTCCTCTGCTTCTGAGGGGGACCATCTCAGACCAGGGAACCAGCAGAACTAAACGTGACCCGGTTTGTCTAGTTTGTTGCACTGAGACAGTTCTGTCTTCTCACTGCTCTGATGAACTGAAGCCATAACTGATACACAGCTGCAACAGAACCATTCCCACGGACAAACCCACATCTGGGCCAGTTCGAGGATCCAACATGGTGCAACCCACTCTGTCAGAACCTGAGTTTTCTACTGAAACAGGAAGTCAGACAAGAAGAGACCAAGTTTCACTTCCTCTTAGTTCACCGAGTGGAACGTGCAGAGGAGGACACGTCTCTGACACGCTGCAGGGACGGGGGGACAGACGAGGACAATTCAATTCATTTTAATTCAGTTTATTTCTAAAGCTCCAAGAAGTCCTCTCAGGACACCGAACAGAAACACTCAAATTTATAAAAATTAAGTTAATAACATTCATTCAATTCAAGCTTTATTTCTCCAGGTGAGTCTCATTGAGCCTCAGGGACTCATTTACAAGAGACACCTGATTTAACAAAGAACACGGAGGAGGTGCAGACAACGACAGATAAAAACACATAAAGTGATAATAGAAGAAAAGACTTTTAAAATGAAACATAAACAGCTACATTATAAAGCGATGTAGAAAACTAAAAATAGGAAGATGTCTGCGTTGGTTTTTGCCATGAACTTAGCAGATGTTTAAAATCCCTTAGAGGTCAAAGGTCGAGAGCTTCAGACCTGGCACAGATTTACTTTCAGATTATTTATCTGAGGAGCAGACTGCTTCGAGTTTAACTCCATCACAGACGTTCTTGCTGTGAGGCAACAGTGCTAACCACAGAGCTGTTGTGCTGCCACAACCACCTGCCACCTTTAGTCCTGGCTTAACCCAGGTTTAGTCCTGCTTTAACCCAGGTTTAGTCCTGCTTTAACCCAGGTTTAGTCCTGCTTTAACCCAGGTTTAGTCCTGCTTTAACCCAGGTTTAGTCCTGCTTTAACCCAGGTTTAGTCCAGGTTTAATCCAGGTATAGCCCAGCTTTAACCCAGGATTAGTCCTGCTTTAACACAGGTTTAAACCAGGTTTAGCCCTGCTTTAACCCAGGTTTAGTCTAGGTTTTAATCCAATTCAGAAGTAAAGAGATCCAGAATCTCAGTTTGGACGTCCTCTATCACAGTGGTCCTCAACCACCGGGCCGTGGACCGGTACCGGGCCGTGGGTCAATTTATACCGGGCCAGAAAAATCAAAACAAAAAAAAACTTTTATTTTGAAAAATCACCGGATTATCTCCACTACATCTGTCGATGACTTCACTCTTGACGCAGGTCAACATACACAAGTGGTAAGTTTCTGTTGCACAGGTCGGTTCTACATGGCCCGTTGGGGCGGAGTAATTCAGCTGCTGGTCCGGAGCAGACAGGAGGAGGTGCGTGGCCGTACCTGCACATTTGAAGGGTCACTGCATATTCTCAACCCGCCTGACAAAGAGCGGCTGTAAAACTATGAACTAAATAAACTATAACTTTAAACAAAGCTTCCTAACATCACATCAGAGCTGGTCCTTCACATTTCTGCTCCTGCTCTTAAAAAATATCCGCCCCTAAAAGTTCAGAGTCACTGGCAACTTTATTAAAAACACAAAAATAATTAAAGTTTTGCACTTTGCATAAGTTCCTGTGCTTTTTGTATAATCTGATGTTTGAATCAGTGCGGAGCAGAGAGGAGGAGGAGGAGGAGGTGGTGGAGGAGGAGGAGGAGGAGGTGGAGGAAGAAGAGGTGGAGGAAGAGGAGGAGGAGGAGGAGGTGGAGGGAGGTGGAGGAGGTGGAGGAGGAGGCTCAGCTGACCCGCTGTGGGATCTAGTCATGAAATGAGAAGTGATCCTGCACTGAATACACTATAAATCACACCAAGTGATTCAAAGTACATTTGAAGTACATTTGAAGTACATTTGAAGTACATTTGAAGTACA